GGGGTTTAGGGTTTTAGGCCGCGGCGGCTGGCTGCGCGGCGCGGGGTGCGGGGGAGGGAGGAGGGTGGGGAACGGCTCCTTGCTCTGCTCTGTGTTGTTCTCGCGTGGTGGGCTGGGGCGAGTGTCTCCGTCCGCAAATCAGGGGGTACACGTCGACAGGTCCGCGCTGCACGAATCTCAGCGCTCGGTTTCTCGGTACTCCCCTCGGGTCCTTTTTACTCCGAACATAAAATTTGTCTGAAGTTAAACTTCATCAAGTTTGACCATATTTAAATTGAAAAATATAAACATCTACAAATACTAAAGTTATATGATACAAAAATTGAATTCATGACGCATATAATGATATTGATTTTGTATTATGAATGTTCATATTTTTTTTCTATAAAGTTGGTCAAACTTTACGAAGTTTGACTTGAGATAAATCTTATACGCGGAGTAAAAAGGACAGAGAATAAACGTTTGTGACGGGCCGACTGGCTGGCATCACGCCAATCCGCCCGTTGTGCGACATTCGTCTATGTAGACCACGCGCAGCTTCCCCTTGTTGTGGGGTCCATGCATGCTCGGCCCTCTCCTACCTTATTCTTTCACGGCCTGTCTCCTCCACTCATTTCATCCGCCGCTCCTTTTCCTCGATCTTTGCCACATCTCGTCTTCTTCATTGTTGCCTGCTGCTACACTGCGGTGAGCGGTGTGATGAGGCCCTACTGCTAGGGCAAGCCACCTCTGGGGTAGCGAGGCACTGCAGCCTGCAACTAGGGGACGAGCCACCTCAGACAGCAAATGCGACAACAACCAGCCCCTCATTTCCCCCCTTGGGCACACATGAGCTACAACGGCAGTGATGGGGGACGCTAATACGGTGTTGACGGGGTGCTGCAATGGGGGGAACCACGTGTTCCAACTGCGTTTACCGAATGTTGGAACCAGCTGGCTATGATGTTGCGGCTGCAGCCACCACATGCTGGAGCCGAAGCCGAGAGATTCTACGACCATGGCCGCCACATGCTGGAACCAGTCGGATGTGGTGTTGCGACCTAGGCATATGCTTCGTCATCGTGGCGTGCAATGACTTGTGGTGGAAGTTGCGACCGACGCATGGGCTAACTGCAATCGGCGCCTAGGATAGTTGCGAACGGTGACACTGGAAGATGTGGTTAGGGGTGAGCCAAGAAGATGTGACTGGTTGTGATACAACCAATAACCCTGGAAGCGTCGGCTAGGGGCGAGCCAAGAAGATGTGACTAGCGGTGGAGGATGTTGTGACTGAAGAGCCCAAAAGATGTGATCCACATGGGGCATAGATGTTACTCGGGACTCGCGGCGGTGGGCAAGCCTAGAAGCTGGAATTAGCAACGACCAATGTTGCAAGCAGGGGAGGGGGCTGCCATAGAAAATTCCCGAAGCAAAAGGTGTAGCCGCAATATAGCAGACAAAGCGGGAGCTATAGCCACAATACTAAATTCCCAAACTTTTTTTATTCGTGATTTTTTATAATGCAAACAATTTTTGGAAATTCTGAAGATATTTGGAAAAGGGCGAACATTTTTGTGTTTTTGTGAAATATTTGAAAACATGAACAACTTTTGTAAAAGACAAAAGTTTGTTGAAGTTGTCAACAACTTTTGAAAAAACAACTTTTTCTGAAATTTTGATTTTTTTAAAGTGAGAATATTTGTTTGAAAATTAAAAAAATGTCAAAAAATTCAAAACAAAGAAGTCTTGAAGAAAAAATGAAAAATGGAAAATAAAAATAAAATAAAAAGGAACAGAAACATAAACGGGAAAATGAATACCCAGAAAAACAGTTAAAGAAAAACCGGTTTTGCCTTGTTGTGGTGTAGCGGGCCGGCCCATTTCTCGCGTTGGGGGGTTTGCCCTCTGCATGCGGTCGACATTACGACGTGGAGAGCGTCACATAGGATTTTCTCATAGTTAATAATTAGTTATGTTAAAATTTTAAAATAATAGTTATATATATGTGTTACGGTTTTAAATACTTTCCCGTAAAACCTGGCATGGATGCTAACTATGGGCACGCCCACCTATTCACAAAAGTTGGGGTCATTTTAGTAATGTTCAAGAAAACACCATGTTCGACATAGGGTTTTTGGGTAGGCCAGAAAGCTCCATGTGAGAATACTTTATTTCTCGACATCCTTTAAATGACCCAAAAAAATTATCATAGCTTGTATGACTAATTCAAAGCACCATGCCAATTTGTTTGGGTTTTTGACAAGTTTTGCATTTTCTTGAGTTTTCTCGGTGAAAATGGCCGATAAATGGTTGGACGTGTCGCAACGTGCATACCGTGTCAGAATTCATTCAAATCTGACATGGATACTTACCATGTGTATGCCCACCTGGTGGCAAAAGTTAGGATCATTTCAATGATCTCCAAAAAACACCATGTTCAACGTAGGGTGTCCAGGTAAGTTAGAACGTTCCGTTCGAGAGCACTTTTTTCGACATCCATGAAATTGCTCTAATTTTTTGTCATGTCCTTGTATGACCAATTCAAGGCACCATGCCAACTTTTTTGTTTTTCACCAAGTGTTGTATTTTCTAGAGTTTTCTCGGAGAAAAAAGAGCGAAAAATGGTCGGACGTGTCGCAACATGCATACAATGTCGGAAGTCATTCAAACTATGCATAGATGCCTTACATGGCATGCCCACCTGGTGGCAAAAGTTGGGGTCGGTGATGAGATTTTCAAAAAATACCATGTTCAACAGAAAGTGTCAGGGTAGGCCAGAACGGTCCGTTTGGGAGCACCTCGTTTCTCAACATCCCTTAAATGTGGCCAATTTTTTTCATGGCTTTGTATGACCAATTCAATGTACGATGCGAAGTTGTTTCGGTTTTTGACAAGTTTAGCATTTTCTGGAGTTTTCTCTGTTAAAAAACATTAATAAATGGCTAGACGTGTCGTAACTTTCATACGGTGTTGGAAGTCGTTCAAATCAGGCATGGATGCCTACCATGGGCATGACATTTGCTTGCAAAAATTGAGGTCATTTCAAGGATGTGTAAAAATGGATCATATTTAACACATGGTTTTCGGGTAGGCCAGAAGGGTCCATTTGAAAGCACGTTGTTTTTAGACATCTGTTAAATGGCCTGAATTTTTCCCCACTAACTTTAGTGACCAATTCAAGGCATCATGCAAAGTTATTTGGATTTTTGACAAGTTTTGCATATTCTGGAGTTCTCTTGATCAAAAGGGACTAAGAAATGTTCGGACGTGTCGCTGTAAATGGTGTCAGAAATCGTTTAAACTTGACATGGATGCCTAATATGATTGGCTAGGCTGTTATAAGTGTTGGGGAACGTTGCAGAAAATAAAAATTTTCCTATGGTTTCACCAAGATCCATCTATGAGTTCATCTAAGCAACGAGTCATGGGAGAGAGATTGCATCTACATACCACTTGTAGATTGCGTGCGGAAGCGTTCAAGAGAACGGTGATGATGAAGTCGTACTCGCCGTGATTCAAATCACTGATGACCAAGTGCCGAACGGACAGCACCTCCGCGTTCAACACATGTACGGAGCGGATGACGTCTCCTCCTTCTTGATCTAGCAAGGGGGAAGGATAGGTTGATGATGATCCAGCAACACAACGGCGTGGTGGTGGATGCAGCAGAACTCCGGCAGGGCTTCGCCAAGCGGCTGCGGGAGCAGGACGAGGTGTAGCAGGGGGAGGGAGGCGCCAAGACACAGGGTGCGGCTGCCCTCCCCCTTGCCCTCCTTTATATAGGCCCCCAGGGGGGGCACCGGCCCTGGGAGATGCAATCTCCCAAGGGGGGGGGGGGCGGCGGCCAGGGGGTTGGAGTACCCCCCAAGGCAAGTGGTGCGCCTCCCCCTAGGGTTTTCAACCCTAGGCGCAGGGGAGGCCCAAGGGGGTGCGCACCAGCCCAATAGGGGCTGGTTCCCCTCCCACTTCAGCCCACGGGGCCCTTCGGGATAGGTGGCCCCACCCGGTGGACCCCCGGGACCCTCCCTGTGGTCCCGGTACAATACCGGATGACCCTGAAACTTTCCCGATGGCCGAAACAACACTTCCTATATATAATTCTTTACCTCCGGACCATTCCGGAACTCCTCGTGACGTCCGGGATCTCATCCGGGACTCCGAACAACATTCGGTTTGCTGCATACTCATATTCATACAACCCTAGCGTCACCGAACCTTAAGTGTGTAGACCCTACGGGTTCGGGAGACACACAGACATGACCGAGACGGCTCTCCGGTCAATAACCAACAGCGGGATCTGGATACCCATGTTGGCTCCCACATGCTCCTCGATGATCTCATTGGATGAACCACGATGTCGAGGATTCAATCAACCCTGTATACAATTCCCTTTGTCAGACGGTATGTTACTTGCCCGAGACTCGATCGTCGGTATCCCAATACCTCATTCAGTCTCGTTACCGGCAAGTCACTTTACTCATACCGTAATGCATGATCCCGTGACCAGACACTTGGTCACTTTGAGCTCATTATGATGATGCACTACCGAGAGGGCCCAGTGATACCTCTCCGTAATACGGAGTGACAAATCCCAGTCTCGATCCGTGTCAACCCAACAGACACTTTCGGAGATACCTGTAGTGCACCTTTATAGTCACCCAGTTACGTTGTGACGTTTGGTACACCCA